TATATGGCGACGGTAGAACCATACTGATCCAAGTGGCATTCTCATCATTTCAAGAAAACAAGGGAAACACATTTGTGTTTGTTTTAAGGAAACAGGCCATTTTTTATGGTTTAATCATTAATGAAATATTGACTGATATGTTAGAATAAATAAAAAAATAATGTTTTATTGAAATCTTTTTATTGAAAGATACTAATATTTTGGTTTCTGCATTGAACAAATCGCCTGGATCACTTTGATGGGACATTGTTACAGAAGATGGTGGTTTTTGCACTTGGATCAATGTGGCATGCAAATTTACATTTTCTCCCATGTATCAATGTGAAAATCTGTAATAAAGGAAAAATGTCACCTGGATCAGTTTGGTTCTACTGTCCCCATATAGTTAATCAAGGTCACCTAACCTTAAGCTTTCCATAACTGGTCTCGACTTTCATCTATCTAACTCCGTTCGCAAGATTAAGGAAAGATAGATGGTTGGATGGATGACAAGGTCTATAATTTTTTCAAATTGCAGTCCAAAATTATGATTAAAAATTTCAGCCCAACATTGTGACAACATCACAATAAAGAACTGAACATTAGAAAATTAAAGTTCATTTCATCAATAGTTAATAAGCTTCAGAAAACAGTAAAGAAAAAAAATNGTAAAAGGATGATCAGAGGCATTAGGATCCCGATTATTCCAACTTACCCTTGATTGTTAGTGTATAAATCGTTACAGAGTAGTGTAGTAATAAATTGTATTTTTGTGAATAAACTGTGTATTCCAAACGAGTTGAGTGTGGAGATGTATTTGGAAGATACTGTACATTTGGAACATCTCGAGCACTATTTGAAGAGACGAAGTACTGATAGGAATTTTCTTTCTCCTTATAATTAAAAGTTTCAGATAACATTTCACTACTACCATAAGAAACTAACGACCAAGCAATATAAACAACGCATATACTAAAGTACCCAAACTGCACGAATTAAAACTGAAACCGAAAATATAAGATATACAAAAACACAGCTTGTTTCGAAAGGGATTGGCAAACTAGGATGCCAGACAAGCCGCGGTAAAAAAAAATGTTTTCGTGCATTTTCTATTCTTAATTAATATAGAAATTTGTTTATCTGGATAACGTAAGCTTTCTAATGGAGAAAAAACTATAAAAAATCGATCCTGTAGATTCCAAGCTTATGTCTAGCAAACGAACAATCAAACAATCACTCTTGCTTTACTGTATATATTAGTACAGATAAATTTGTGTGTAGTGCCATCTGTTATAAAGTTTTGCCATAAAAATTTTTTATATTATTAATGATAAAACAGTAAAATAGTTAATTTTGAAGGTAGAAAAGAGTTTTATAAAACACTGTAAACGTTAACAAGTAAAATCTTTAATATATCTCATGAGGGGGTCACCCTCATGAGATATATCACGTGACCACCCTCTATCTCCGTGACCTTTCACAACCAAAATTTAATAGCATCAATGCCCTTTATATACAAGCTACTGTGCCAAATTTTGTTTCATTATCTTCACCCTGTCTTGAGATATTAAGCCAAATAAACACTAACACATGCACACAGAATTTTTTGTCTTTTTTTTTTTTTTTTACTTTTTTGGGGTTCAGGGATATCAAAATGTGGAGATTTGCAAAAAAATTCTGAGGGTCAAATCTGACACAATTCCATTACTTTCCTCTGTTACGTATACATAACAGCCAGGAAAGTAAAAGTGCTACATGATTGATGGGAAAATATCTTAAAACGGATAAAAATTTAAAATAAATTTAAGGAAACTTAAATCCTATTTCATTTTTCTTTTCATTTTTTATTTCTAGAAAATAATTGGCAAAATTTTCTTCTAAAATTTAACTAATATTCCATTGTTATTATCTGCCAGGAAATATTTATATTGCTATATAATTCATAAAGTGGTCCAAAATATTCACAGAATGTCATAGAATTAAGTTAAATGCAAAAATTTTCAGATTTTTGTACAGTTTCTTCTATAAACTTGTATTTTCTAATTTATTTCCAGATGGACAGTCATTTTCTGTAATTAGTACTATAAAATTGTGGAATAACATGAGAGAATGGCCACCTTTGGAATATCCAGCTATATAATAATATCTTATTTTGAAAGTAAGGCCTTTGATTACCAAGAAATGCTTAACAGTATAGCTGCCACAAAATACATCCTTTTGTGGTAGAATTCAAAAACACGTTCTGGAAACTTGTGGATAGCAGCAGTGCTCAAACTTTTTGATTGACAGACCACAAACAATTTTGTATATTCCAATTAACCTACATAAAAAAAATATTGTCTGAAGAATGTTTTATCAATTTAAATACACTGCTATCTGTAAAAAATATAAGGAGTATTCTTTCTTTAACTTGAATTAACATATTAGGCTATTATAGAATTTACAAAATTCTGACAACATTTTTGATCATTTATAAATTGATGCTTTAAATATCTTCAGAGGCTAGAATAATAAATTGTGCAGAGGGTCCTTATGCTAAAGTTTTTAACATCAGTAATCTATAACAGAAACAATTTGTTAAAGGTAAATGTTTGTTTACTTTATTTCAGCAAAAAATTACTACTACTTTAATCATTAATGAATGGTATCATTATATACTATAGAATCTAAATTATCATCAGTCAAAAAGCAATAATGTTTTTTATGTATGAAGAGAAAAAGCAATATATCCAAAATGTATTTTTACTAAATATAAAATGTAAATTTAAAAATCAATGTTTGTTAATGAAATGTATAAAATTCCAAATAAATTTGTAAATGAAGTTAACACAATTGAAACTAAATAAATATTTTAGTTTCTTTCTAAAAAGAAACTTTCCTTCTTTCTTTTATCCAAATTTTCAAAACTAAATTAATTCCTATCATAAGTAATTTTGAAGTTGCTACTACATATTGTTCCTACTATAGAAATTTGAATTTCTATTACATTAAAATTTATCAGCTATCATGTTAAAAAATGATCTAGATAATTTATATTTCTTATAAGTAAATAAAGTATTAGTTTCTCATTTGATTTTAACAAAGGAGAAATTAATATACATCCTTTCATTCTAATTCTTATCTTCTGACTTGTCTAGATTAAAACAAAAAGAAAAAAAGCACATGTATTTTGTCTAGATTACAAAATTAAAACAGTAGCAATAGCTTGAAGTTGTCTATGTAAGCTACACGGGTAGTAGCTTATCAGAAAGTGACAATTTACCACCAGCATAGTGTTCCAAACTATAAGAATATTCCAGTCCCACATAAAACTGCACAGATATGCATTGATATATGTATCACATAGGTACCATGTGTTTACAGATACATATTTATGTATGCACAAACATTAATATATTTTAAACTCAATGTAACTATAAATATTAAAGNTTATAACATTTTAATAATAGCAAATATTATTAAAACACTGGGTGTTGTCATATTTTTCATTTTATATATGCAGGCCTGTAGCTATGGCTGACTATGAAGTGACTAAGATCCCTCAGTTTAGTCAGTAGTGCCCATATGCAATAAACATATATATATAAATACATGCTTCCACTTTCATCATGTAAATTTAGGCTAAAATTATTCATTTTTACACTTAAACTGTAGCTAATAGGTCTAGTGCTGGCTAGAAAATAAAAATAAAAATAGCAGTTTCAATGTAAAACTGGAGGAAATATCAAGAAAATTAAAATAAATTCACACCTTAAAGAAACTCTAGCAATATAAGTTCTTAATAAACAAAAACATTTTGATCTAATGCAATATGTATTTGACAACTGAAGAAGACCTAACATTTAATGAACAAGTAAAATTTGAATAAAATAAATGAATAAATGAATTAAAATACAAAACAGAATATATAAAATTTTAATCCAAAGTAAAAAAATTTAAAAAACTAAAAGTAAAAATAATCACCAATAAATATTAAATTGATAACTTTTAGTTATACATTTAAAATTTGACCAAGTTAGATATCAAGTGACTTCCATGCAGTTCCTAAAGTGTCTGCATCATGGTAGTGAACATAGTTGTATCTATTAGATTGTATTTATCTAATACCTCCAAGCATTTAAAAGAATTAAGATCATTGGTGGGTTTAATTTTAGCGTCATCCTACTTGATTTGTACCTCATATTAGATTGAAAACATATTTGTTTAATTAATAAAAACTTATATTGCTGGACTTTAAGGTGTAAATTATAATTGTCTATCAACTTGTTCTATTTCCAGTAATCTTAATTGTGTAAATTTAAGTTTTTTTTCCCATCCTTTTTTATATATGTCCAGCCAATCTCAGTCTGGATTTCTACAATAATTCTTGTTTAATTTCACTGAACATATTTCTTCTAAAAATAAAGCTAACACAAATACAACAGTAACATTGTTATCTTTTACTTTACTTTAATTAGCCGATACATTTTTAAATATTTAAAATAAAATCATGATTTGTAAATATTTGCTATTTTTATTTATTTATTTTTTTTAATTGATAATTACATAAGTAACCATTCTTCTGTATCATAAGCATATTCCAATTAACACTTCTTTGTATTGAGATTTTATGTAGCATATTCTAAATTCTACTATTTTATTTAAGGAAGAAAGATCACAAAATTATTCTCAGAAAATGAAAAGATAAGAAGAAAATGCAAGTTTTAAGAGAAGGAAATCAAAGTAAATACATCTGAGTAATTATTTTAAATCTTTCCTTTTAACTTGAAAAAAAAATTCTATTTTGAAAAAAGCAAATCTAACCTAACAAATTAAGTAGTAACAAAATTAATGGAAATACATATGATCCATTATAATTTTAAATAGCTATAAATTAGCTTTCTGTTCATTATTTTTATGAAAAAAAGGATATGATTTCATGTCCATTATATTAATAATTCTTTTGAAACATTTTATTGACATAAATTATTAATAAAATTAAACTTTTCAAAAATATCTTGATTTATTTACTTAAACTGTCCTTACCTTATCAAAAAAAAAAAAAAAAAAAAAAAAGAGGTTTAGTTTCTAAGCCAATTTTACATTCTGAAATGAACAGTAGGTGCCAAGTGGATCTCATTGATTTTCAGACTCAACCTGATGGAAAGTTTAAATTTATCATGGTCTACCAAGACCACTTGACCAAGTTTATTTTGCTTCGTGCTTTGGAATCTAAACGAGCTGAAGAAGTAGCCTACCATTTGAATGATATATTTTTGACAATAGGTGTCCCGTGTATTTTGCAGTCAGACAATGGAAGAGAATTCGTCAATCGTATTATATGTGAAATGACGAGTCTTTGGCCAGAACTTAAGCTAGTGCATGGAAAACCACGGCACAGCCAAAGTCAGGGCTCTGTCGAGAGAGCCAACCAAGACGTCGAGAACATGATCAGTTGTTGGCTAAAAGATAATCACTCGACTAAATGGTCAGAAGGATTGAGATATGTACAATTTATGAAAAATAGGGCCTATCATTCGGGCATAAAACAATCGCCTTACAAAGCTATGTTTGGAGTTGAACCCAGAGTTGGTCTTTCAACGACATCACTACCACCAGAAATAATAAAGGATATTCAAGATGAAGATGACGTTCAAAAACTTATTGAAACTGATTTAACCCATAGACATACAAATGATCACAATAATTCAGGAGATGATAGTGATTGTAATGATATCGAAACTTCTAAAATTGGTGATGATATCCAAAAGGCAAGACAANTCTTCTCTTGCTGTTTTATAGATATATATCGCTTCCATCCAGCGCAAATGGTGTATTAGCTGTGTGGTGTAAATTATTTTTGCCTCGTCAAATACAGCTTGTATGTCAGGGTCCGTGGCATATTGCGCTAATGCCGTATTATATCTTTTATGTAGGATGTCTGCTTTGTGTTCTTTGATCCTCACCTCCAACGATCTTTTTGTGGATCCCACGTATACTAAGTCTTTACCACACCTATGATCTTTTATAGGGATCCTGTATACACCTGCTAATTTGTTTTGGTGCGGAATGTCTTTTGCATTATTTAGCATTCTAAATATAGTGGGACATCTTCTAAATATTAAGGAGGCTTGTTTTCTTTTGGCGATCTCTTTGTAGATTTTCTCTAAGTACGGATTGTACGTGATTAGGATTCTGTCTTTCAGATTGTTACTTTGCTGCCCTTGCGGTTCTGTTATATCTGTTCTTCGTGAAAGCATCCTTTTTTCGATCCTCATGGCTATCCTACTATTATATCCATGTCTTTTGGCCATGGTATTAATGGTGTTGATCTCTGTATCCAGTGCCCACGTTGTCGATGAGTGGGTGTATGCTCTATTCACCAAGTTATTAAAGGCTGCTATCTTATACTGCCATGGGTCACATGAATGCGCAGGGATATACAATTGATCTACCTGAGGCTTTCTGTATACCTCTGTGTTGATAGACTTTCCTTTAACTATGATGTTCATGTCGAGAAAATGAATTTGTTTATCGCTCTCCTGTTCGAGGCCCACAGTTAATCCATACGTGTTATTATTAAATGCCGCTATGACTGCCATTATGTCAGGTTTAGATTTCCATAATATGATTATATCATCCACATATCTTTTGTATGTAATAAGTAGTAAGTAATCTTGAGTAGCCAAAAACGATCCTTCTATCTACAGAGCATGCGCAAGTTTAATACGAGGATCGCACGAGTTTCCTTAGAACATTACGTTTGGATTTTCGAATAACATCGATTCTACCCGATTTTTTCATCTGAAGAAGAACTAAGTTTGAAAACGTTTGTGAAAATATTTGGAAATAAGCACTGATTTGGTTAAAGCAGAAGTAAGTCGTATTTTACAGTGTGTTTAGAAGAGATTACTCACTTTTACTGTTAGAAATGTAAAGAAAAAATAAATTCCATCAAACATTTTAGTGCACTGTCTCAAAAATTAATGTAGAAAATTATCAATGTAAATTTGTTTTATTCCAAACTTTCATAAATTATATTTACTATTTCTAACATAATCTGTACTTATATCTAATAGTAATTTTTTATTTATTTTACATTAATAAATTAATATGTTATCGTTCCTTGAAGAATAGCATTTTGTCAATAAATAAATAATACAGTAGAACCTCGATTATCCGGACCTCCATTATCCGGATTTTCGATTATCCGGATTGTTCAAAATAAACAAAAATTTTACGAATTTGCTGATTTGCACTTGGCGAATTACGACACTGTTTATGTACGTGATGGAATGCATAACTTTTTTTGTTTCAACAACGTCTCACCCAGCACAGTGGTCGTAAACTCTTAAATATATTTTACGTAGTAATAAAAATATAACTTGACATACGTATTTATAAATAATTTATATTCAAATTACATCATTTCTATGACCAAGGGCGGCGTAAGGCATGGACGACGTGGGCCACCGCCTATGCCTCGCGGTCCGAAGGGCCTCGCGCCTCGAAGGTTTATGCATTACTTAAAAGCCGCGAACGCGACGAAAAAATTTTACTCGTCATAAAACGATAAATAGTTTGTCAAATTTTTATTCATAAAAATGCAGTTTCAACTGCTTTTTATTTTATAAAATCCATCTTCTTGCGCTACCAGCGGGCCTTTTAAACAATAGGTAGTCTGTTAGCGTTGGTCAGTAGTAGTCCAAATTCAATACGAACGTTTGTTTCTTGAAAATTTGATCACGATTTAAATACAGTATTTACTTTTAATATTACCGATATGTCACCGAAAAGAAAACGTGTTGTATTATCATTAAAAGACAAATTAAAGTATTTGTTTCGATTATCCGGATTTTTCCTTATCCGGACTACCTTCATCCCCAATTAGTCTGGATAATCGAGGTTCTACTGTACTTAATTTTTTAGTAAGTATATTAACACTACACCTGGAAACAGCAGTGCATGACCTGCAATATATACTTAAAATAGGATAAAGTTACTGATGCAAAACAAACTTTTTCTTCTATAATAACTACATAAAAAATATTCTGCTTCTTACTCATGTATATTTAACATTTATAAATCTGATATGTGTCTACTTCTATAATTTGAAGTTTCTTCTTAAAATGAGTATAAAATTATAGTTATTAAAAATAAATTATCTAGATTTTTGTTATCTGCTCAAAATTTTCTTCACAACACTGATCACATATATGAATCAAACATTCTGAAAACCTTAATATAAAGTCAGTGAAGAATTTTACTTAAATATGTTAAAGACAAATGTTTTTGAACTACACCTAAGATCTGTGGTTTTGATCATTAATTTTAACATGTTTAATTAAAATTCTTCACTATCATATATTAAGGTTTTTGGAGTGTTTGATTTATCCTGCTTAAAATATTTTTTCAGTATATAATATTTATCAGAACAATAAATTTATGTTCCTAGTTAGAAATTTTAATTTTTTAATCAAGTGTTATTTGTTTTGGACAAAGTAACTTTATATAAGAATCTTAAACTTAGTAAGCCTTTCATTAGTCAGTAATGGTTATGTTAAAGTAAACAGTTTTTATAATATAGATATTAGAATACATTTTCTAAACTTCACTTTTAATTAATCTTATAAAATATTTCCAAAGTTTGTGAATCACAACTTAATAATTTTCAAATGACATAGCAGTTTTGCAATATGTTTAGTAATGATTATTTATTGTTATATGAAATTTTGTCTAAAAAATAATATTTAGTTGTTTTACAATTAATAGCAGAAAGCAATAAGTTCTCAAATAAAAAAAATAATGATAAATGATAGGTTAATTTATTAGAGAAAAATTACAGATGAATGTAATTATTCAAGCAAAAACATCTGAGATGTAAAAACATTGTTCCAAGTAAAAAATTATGACAATTTAAATGACAGTCAAAAGAAAAACACCTAAGGAAAACATCCATAGTAAAAAATTTTAGAAACAGTTATTTTCTATCCTTACAATACAATTCTTTGCTGAAAATATTTGATAAAAATGAATATCTATAGAAGATACGATAAATATAATTAATAAATATCTTTTATTTAATACGTAGTATGCTTTTTATACATATATGGTTTTAAAGAAATCTTTTCTTATATCTATAGTTTTCTTTTCAAATGTATTCTATAAATAGTTTTCAAACATATCTATATGCTGGATTAATTACAGAAAGTTAGTCTAAAGATATTGCAGCTTAATTGCCTACTTCTAGGCCAAAAATTTTGTTATTAATTAATAATAGCTTAATTTTAGCATAAGAATAATCTGACTTTTAGATATATTTGGTTATTTAAAAATAGGGCTATGGTTTAGTGCATGTTTATAACCAAATCTCTACCTAACACTTCCTCAAATGTAATATATTTAATAAATTTACATCAATTATCTGCTTGTCAAATCTTGCAGATAGTTTTATTAATGTATATGTAATTTCCATGGTCCAACGATCATTATTTAAAATTATATTATTAAAACAGATACAAAACCTTTTAAACAAGCAAAAAAAATCTTTCTACTCAAAATATTTTTAAAATATTGAAATAATGAAATGAATACCTTGTATCACATTTTATTTATTTGAGTAAAAAATTTTTCTTAGCCTTGATAACTTTTTGTAATATTTAATAATTAATCTCCTGCAGTAAAAATTTAATTAAATAAATAAAATTCTGCTTACTATTAATAGTGCACTACATGCATAGGTGTAGTGTAATTATAAATTTGTATTTTATACATGTCATACTTATAAAAGTTTTTATTTACTTATAGAATTAATTTTAATTTCTGATTAAGTTTAATTATTGTAATTGAATGATATATATTACAGCTAAAATATAACAAAAGAAATTAATATCAATGGATAAATAATATAAAAGATAAATTTATTTTTGTGTGAATCCTATCTTACTTATTATTTAATTTAGAAATAACAATCTCAATAATTTCTAAAATTTTGATTTATTTGTTTTTCTAAAAGATTTGATTACTGTATTGGCATTTTTCAATTTCAAAACTTTAAAACAAAATTTGTTTATTATTTAGAACATATTTGTAAGATAATTTTAATTTAAACAGAGTAAGATTTAAGTAAAATATATTATCTAACTTGTTAACTTAATAATAGAAGTTACACTTGATTTCAAGTTTTTCCTACAATAATACACTTATCAATCAAAGCAAATCAAACTATGTAATATTAAATACTTTTGATAAAATATATTTATATATGGAATCAGTATGTGTAAGATAACTATTAAAACAAATTAATGCCAGACAACTTTGTATCAACTGTTCTCAATCATTATCTAAATAGCTAGTTTGGCAAATTACTACTAATTGGTATAATATTTAGCATTGTTGTTCAATTCATGTGAAACATTAAATATTTTCTGGAAAATATAAAAAAAAAAAAAGAGATACTTGTCAACATATTCTTTGAAAATGTAAAAAAAAGGGAAGCTGGGTGGAAAATATGTAGTTTGGGTGGCAGTCACCATTTTGGGTGCATTTGGGTGCTAAACGATTTGGTAATGAGTGGACCTACTACACTAAAACCGACATAGTTTGTCTTTTTACACTCTGCCCCTTTCAAAAACCAAGTGTGTGCAGCACTCAAAAAATCCGGACCTTACTGATCAGTCTACCTTTATATTCATGGGAAGGAGTTAGTTACTGCTGCAATCTTTTTCCCTTTTTTTTTATGATTTCTGTATACAGTATTAGTGAGCTATTTCATTGTATATAACAAAAGTGAAAAGTATCACTGCTACTGTGAGTTTTACTTTGTAATTTTCATTGGATACTGCATGTTTTACTATCATCTTTGCCAAAAACAAAGCACATGCAATACAAAACATTAACTTTTGTTGAAAAAGTGGCAGTTACACATAAAATGGAAAAAGAATTTTTAAAAATCTGAAATTGCAGAAGACTTTGGAATTCCACCAAATACATTGTCCACCTACCTAAAAAATAAAGATAAATTTTGAACAGTGTGACTAAACAGAAGAAAAGATAGGTAGAGAGTAAGAGAAGCAGAAAACATGGTTGTTGATGAGTGCATATTAAAATGATTTAAACAAGCATGAGATAAAACATTCTAATAGTTAGATCCCTCGTTAGAGCTAAAGTTGAAGAATTTGCTTGTGGCCTAGAAAAGAGTGGTTTTAAAGCCAGCTGGTTGGCTTTATGAATTTAAGGAAAGAAATGCTATTTATTTCAAACTGTTTGTGAAGAAAGTAGAGCTGTTGATCTACAGATGGCTGATAGATGAAAAAATGCTTTGGCAGAAATAATTCAAGATAGAGACACTAAAGACATTTTAAATTAATGTTGATGAAACTGTACTGTTTTATAAATGTACCCCAGACAAAACATTGGCTTTCAAACATAAGTGTTGCAGTGGCAGTATGCATAGCAAGGAAAAGAATGCTTTTAGTTGGAACAAACATGGATTGGTCTAAAAAATTATCTTTGTTGATGATTGGAAAGTCAGTCAATCCACAATGCTTCAAAAATGCTAAAACTAAGCCAGTGGAGTATCAATGAAATACAAAAGCATGGATGACGAGTAAAATTCTTGAATGATGCTTTTAAAAATTGATGAAAAATTTGGAAAACAAAATAAATTCTGTTGTTTATTGACAACTGTACAGCACTCAACATCATTCCTCCAATGGAAAATGTAAAGGTTACATTTCTTCCCCAAATATAATGTCAGTACTTCAACTGATGAATCAGGAAGTGATTAAAACTTATGTGATGTTAGACTGTGTGGGGGGGCATGATTTTGTTCTCCCTGTTTGAAGCCTAATAATTTCTGTGGTCAAAGTGGTCAGAATCGGAGTCAGATGGTTTAACACAGGAATTAGTTATTAAGTGTCAAAGTGGTTGAACTAAATCGCGTCCCCATATATGTTCTAACATCTTAGGCGAGAACATCTTAATGGGTTTTACTGTACTATTATAAAATGACAAAAAAAGCTTACTTTGAGGGTAGAGATGAGTTTTATTTTATTTTTTTAAATTTTGAACGCTAATAACGAGTAAAATGTTCATTAAGAGATATGACACATGACCACTTTTATGTCTTCACCCTGTCGACCTTTAATTAAGAACCAAAATAGTATTAATGCCCCTTTATACGCAAGCTACAGTGCCACATTTCGTTTCTTAAACTTTACCCATTCTGAGATATTGTTTAATATCTCAGAACAGAAAATAAAGAAATTAAACAAATTAGATGCCAACACACACACACAATTTTTTCCCTTTTATTGACTTTTTTGAGGGGTTCAGGAAGTCTCCAAATGTGTATACTGTATTTGCAAAAAAAACTTGGGTCAAATTTGGCATGATTCCAATACTTTTCCATTTTATATACATAACAAGTTGGTAAGTAAAAAGGAGTCGGTGGATTTTTTGATGACTGACTCCAGCTAAAACACCAAAACTCCACGACTCCGACTCCACAGCCCTGATTTTAACAGACTAACTATTCAAACAAAAAGACAACTTGAAATCATTTACAATGATGTAATTACATCATTTTTATATAAAACTAGCTGCAAGGACCTGCTTTGCTGGGTTTTTATTTGTGGGCAAAAAGTAACAATAGTGAAGATTAAGATAATTACATTATAGCCAATCTTACCTGTTTTCACAGAATTAGGTCCCCCGTTTCCAGACTAATTAGAGAATTTTTACGTCCAGTTAAACGAACTATTTTCAATTTGATCAGTTTTCTGGAACATTTACAATCGTTCTATAATCGAACCAATTCGAATTTAAATTCGAATACGAATTCAAATATTTTTAGAATCGAAATAGAAAATCTTCCACTTTCAACCACTTTCAAGCCCATATCTCCCGCACCCTTATAGCTATCGAGACGCAACCACCGTAGTGCACGAATGAAGACTTGGTGCTACTACCACATACAAACACCATTCATGTGCAATGTGTAGTTTTGGCTGAAAAGTGAAATATAGGGACATACACGTCCATTTATATATATATATATAGATATAGATGAATAAATTATTTGGAAAGAATAAGATGTAATAGAACAGAGAAAGACTACAGAAAAACTCTTTAGTTTCCGAATCTTTAGACATGATACAGGACTTTATTTAAGAAATATTGACTCATCCATGATATTTCAGATATCATGATATAACTTTTTGAATATTCTAGTCATATAGTCACAATCTTTTCACTCATTACGTACAATTTTTATTCTAAAAAATTCTGTAATTTGGTCAAAAAAAAAGTACATTTTAATATTTATATAATATGTTGTTATTATATACATAATAGGATTACATATTATTTCATCAGAATATTTACTACTTTACATTTCATTTTAGAAATTTAAAACATTGATTCAAATAAAATTTTATAACAGATATAGAATGAATTCAGATTATGTTTTTACAACAGGAACTATAAACTACACAATATATTCAGAAAATATATGTTCATAACTTAAATTGCTGAAAACATTTACAATAGGAAAATAATAAATACAAAATAATATCTTAAATTACTCTTAAAAATTTTTCCCAATGAAAAACAGTATAATTTTGTACAGTTCTATTATATTTTTAAAAATTTATTGAAATGTTAAATGAAACAAACTGTATTGAGTAGTAATAAATCTTATAAATGTATTGTTTCTATGTATCAAAAAAGCAACAATTTTCAATTCTGTTTTCAATACAGCATAAACAGAACAATCTATGATTATCATTCTCAAGTGCCAATTGTCTATTCATAAATTATTTTTTTATATTTTCAGGTAGAATTAAGAATTCAAACTTAATACAATTAAAATATAACAAAATCTTCAAACTTTTCCTCAAATAGCAATTATTTAATTTTTCAAATTTTCAAATTTAAATTAAGAGCAATATTACAGATTATTCTGAATTTATATTTGTCACGCATATGTTATTTAAGAAATTATTCAGTTCAATTATTTTCAATTATTCAGTTCAATTTATGAACATATTTTCAACATGAAAATATGTTCATAAATTAAAATTCTAGTGAAGCAATCAAATCTTTGAAAGAAAAAAAATTCAGAAAAATATATTTGGTTCCAAATACAGGGTGTTCAGAAAGTCACTGTACATTTTTCATAATCATATCTTTGCATTATTTCAAAAGATGTGTGGCCCTGATGCTCACCAGATCATATGTAAACATATAAATAACACTTTATCTTTGCCGAGAAATATATTTATTTCCAAAACAAATGTTTTCAGCCTGATTTACAGGTCATCCTCAGGTTGAGAACGAAATTTGAATTAAAGCATTCCACCAATAGAATACAAAATTCAAAATTAAAAATTAAATAAGCAACAGAAAATTTAAATTTAATTTTATTTTCAGTTAAGAAAGTAAATAAATTCTTATCTAACCTTCACTTTATGGGGTTTCCAAAAAAACAATAAACATTTAAACTGTCATCATAAAGTACTCAGCAAATCACCAAATATATAAATAACTTCTTATTTTTGCCGATAAATATATTTATTTCAAAACAAATGTTTTCAGCCTGATTTACAGGCCATCCTCAGGTTGAGAACAAAATTTGAATTAAAGAATTCCATTAATGGATTACAAAATTAAAAATTAAATAAGCAACGGAATAACATAAAATAAAATTAAAATATTAAATAACCAATGGAGTAACATAAAAATATAAAATATGTACATAGAAGTATTAAGAAATATAATTATTAACACATCCAATAAAATTACAATTTTAACTAATTAGAGCTCTTAGTAAATTTTTTAACTATAAACTTCCATGCAGAGGGAAGACTTATGGTATTCCTTGCATTCAAACAGCCTGCCTGTAGTTTACTCCTATAAATCTGCATCTTTTCAGCTGTCAATGCCAAAGATGGGGAAGATAAAGGTTCGATGATGGCTGCCTCATTTCATTTGACTACAGATCCTTGTGCTTGCACCATTTGGGACAAATTTGTTACATTAGATTCCTTTTTGATATTGTAAATATGCTCCTTGAGTCTAAGTCCCAAAATCCTGGTGGTTACTCCAATATAGTATTTTTTAATGCCCAATTACATATTCTCATAAGGAATTCTATAAACCCCTGCTTTCTCTTCTGACTTTATACTATATTTATCATTTTTGAGGATTTTGTATAAATTAGGGGCCCTTTTTATAAGCGTTTTCGAACCTTTTCTGTCAGCAACCTCTTTCATAACGCTATTCATACTTTCATTATATGTAAATTTCACGACTCCAGTAGGAGCACTTTTAAATGACCTTTTCTTGACATTTGCCTCATACTTCTTAACTATTCCTAGAATTGCACTTTTTCAATAACCTAGGGTCTGGGCCATGCTCATTATTCTATTTCTTTACTCCTGTCTTGTATTCTGTCACAATACAAAAATGCCCTTCTTATTAAAGCTCGGAAAGCTGCAATTCTATATTTATACGGATCCTTGGATTGGGAGGGAATATACAATGGGCTATGGGATGGTTTAATAAAAATGCTAGTGGACAAATGGCCTTTTCTGAATTTAATACCAATGTCTAGAAAATGCAGATCCAAGGAACTCTTCTGCTCCAATCTTAAACTAAGGCTATCATTGTTATCATTGATCTTATCCAAAAAATTCTTAATCCTACTGTTGTTTTTCCATAATATAAGTAGGTCATCAACATATCTGCTAAAATAAACGACATCCTCCTTGAAATTGTGAAGAATTCTTCTTTCTAGCCCTCTAACTACCAATTTGCATAGGATCCCTGAGAGTGGGCTTCCCATAGGGACCCCTCTTCTATGTCTGTAGATCTGCCCATTAAAAGCAAAACAAGATTCATGGCACATCAATCTAGCCAGATCCTCTACTTCAGTATAATGAAGCAACTCTGAGTTCTTGCCGTATAAGAAATCCAAAAGTGCCTCCTCGCATGATTCTATCTTTACTGAAGGATACATGTTCTCATAGTTGAAAACAGTTGCAACTTCATCTTCCATTAACAAAATATTTTGTAGATCTTTGACCACTTTCATAGGTTCACACTCAACTAGAGTATCCATGCCCAGCTGGGAGGATAAATATTCATGCAACTTCTTTTCTAATACAAACGTGGGACCTCTGCATTTCTCTACAACCAGTCTTATTTCTTTACTGGTTTTATGTATCTTAGTGAAAGCAAACAACCTAGGTGTTCCAGGTCTAGGGTTCCTGCATTTTTTGAGAAAAGGCAAAGCTGTGGAAAGTTTAGAGACCTCTAGTTTCCTGACTCTTCTATCCAAACTTCCAATAAGGAAGTTTGGATAGAAGAGTCAGAAAGGAATCTAATGCAACAATTCTGTCCCAAATGGCGCAAGCACAAGGATCTGTAATCAAATGGAATGAGGCAGTCATCATCGAACCTTTATCTTTCCCATCTTTGGCGTTGACAGCTGAAAAGAACTAGATTTATAGGAGTAAACTACAGGCAGGCTGTTTGAATGCGAGAGATGCTGAAAGTCTTCCCTCTGCATGGAAGTTTATAGTTAAAAAATTTACTAAGAGCGCTAATTAGTTAAAATTGTAATTTTATTGGATGTGTTAATAATTATATTTCTTAATACTTCTATGTACATATTTTATATTTTTATGTTATTCTGCTGCTTATTTAATTTTTAATTTTGTAATCCATTAATGGAATGCTTTAATTCAAATTTCGTTCTCAACATGAGGATGGCCTGTAAATCAGACTGAAAAGGCTTGTTTTGAAATAAATATATTTATTGGCAAAGATAAGGTGTTATTTATACATTCAAACTGTCTTCATGAAAATGATGATATAAGATTAAATCAAAATTATTTGATTTATAATTTCTTTCTTTTATTTTAATGTATAGTGGAACCTCTATATTCGTAATATTCGATATTCATCACATTTTGATGAGTTTTTTTATTTTTCCATATTCGTCAGTATTTTCTGTATTCATAGTCATTCCCAACACTGGAAGTGGCACTACTATTGCATATCAATGCGATCAACTAGCTGTGTTAGCTAGCTGTATTTATTCAGTCTGCTTTGTGCGGTTGTTGTGAGTGTTATTGAGTTATTGAAGAAGTAATTANTTGATAACGTATACGGATTCTTGTCGTAGGGTGGCAGAGTGGAAGCGTGTCCTTTTTTCTAGAAATACGCATTTATTTTCAGATCAGATCTGTTTGTGTTTAATATTTAAAAACAGAAAAGAATGTAGTCGAATAATAAAAATAATTTTTCTGATTTCTGAAAATATAGTATACTTTTTGCAGAAATTATTATTGCATAAAGTCCCAATATTCATATTTCTCACATTACTGATTCAATAGTTTTCGATCGTACAAATTTTAAAAGTCTATCTAATGTTATGTCATAAAAATGGCATTTTGACTTCATGATGTTTTAGATGTACGTTAAAAATTAATAAAAATGTTTAAATATAATTTCTAAACGAGAAACTTTCGCCTGCTTTTTAATTTTTCTCTTTTTTATAAGCTATAAGAAGGCATCGGCCGAATGGCCGAGCTGTTAAGGTGGCAGTCTACCGTTCTGGGGAACCCTGGATCGAATTCCAACGGTTACAACAACCCCAGGAATTTTTTAGGAATGCCCGTCCGGACCCATCTATCATCACCTATTGTGCTAGCTTCATTGTGGGCCTGGCTGAACCCATAATGGACTTTTTAAAAGCCTTCTTAGTGCTCACAAGCAGGAGTGTTTAAAAAATCCAAGAGGGCATTCCCAAAATTAGTTCGGTCAAGGTACAATAGATGATGCCCGAAAAATCAGAACCTATATATTCGGGTTAAGTCGTTTACAGAAAAATTTTGGATTGATCAAGATTCAAACCCTCCAGAAGTTCAAAATTGCATATGCATATCAAATATATGTACTGTATATGTCATATACACTCACTCTCAAAAAAGTTACGCACCAAGAAGCAGGCAATGAATCGAATAAAACTTTAATAGTGTGGACGTAATGATTATGGTAATAAATGATTGTATTATCATAGCAAATGTACAAGTTCCTCTGAAAAAATAGTACAATTTAAAGAAATCTGGATACATTTGACGATACGGTCGCGCATGGAGACATACAGGCACCGCATTCTATCCTACAACAGATCTTTTGCAAATGCCGCTCCATATCCGTCACACTCGTACTGTACGTGGTAGAAAATTGCGTCTCATTTAATAATCACAAATGCTCGATGAAAATCTAGTCAAAGGAAATTTAAAATTATTGTTAAATGTTATATAACATTGTTACGTACAACGCATTGTGTCACGGTAATGTTTTGTAAATATTTTTCCGTTACGTAATAAAAGGTTGCTGGAGCTGTTGACTCCTCGGGGAGCCGTTGGTGACGTTGACCTCGTTTCACGCTCCCCTTTTCAACGCTGACCTTCCGTGAGTCATTTCTTGTGTATTCTTTGTTTTTTTGTTACATAACCTGTTACGCGAGTCTAACTTGTTTTTACTAATCTCTCCGACAAGCAACATCTAGTCTAACAACCCACAGGTCGGAAAAAGTCAAAAAGAAACAAAAGTGTCCCTCACACCATTACTAAGGATCATAGATGGCTCTCCAGACCAGCAGAGGAGCAGGATTGATGCATTTACCAATGGTCCTCCACACATTAACGCAGTGCACATACAGAATAGACCTATTTATGACGACAAAAGTCTATTTTTATATTAGTGCTGAAAAATAAAATTGATTTTAATAGATGTTTCTCAACAACCCATATTTGTGATCTCACATATATTTCATTCGTATTCGTAACAATAAGTGCTTTAGTAACCTCGCAAGAGAACGTTCCCTCAGTTGACTGTACCCAAGTCAATTGCCCGAAACATCGGCAAAAAATTTTGTTTTTTACCTTTTTGTTTATTAAGTAATAATTTTGTGTAAGGCTTTCAGAAAAAGTTCCACTGAGAACCGCTATTTTGTGTTGTTTGTACTCGTATATTATTGAATAAAGAAAGAAAAATAAAGAATCTGTCTATTCCAAATGATTCTTTGTCTATACAAAGAATCATTTGGAATAGCTTACACCCTTTGTTTACAGGTAGTCGTGATGTGTATATGTTGCATGCCATAAAAAAAACAAAATACATTTTTATATTTCATGAATATTTCATGTTTGTTAAAATAGACCCCTTTCAAGTAGAATTTTGCAGTTTTCCCATCTACTCCACTCATTTAGATGCTGCTAAGCAGATATCAAACCAAAATATTCATTTTTACGGAAAAAGTTTTCTTAATCTCGCCATCTTACGCCTTCAGGAAGGTAAGTTAAAAAACTTTAGACTTTACAAATATAAACTTGGCTCTTTGAAGCGAAGTATAGAAACCAATAATGCAGATAAAAATCTTGTGGGTACCGCTTCGAAGCGCTAAGCTTATCTTTACCAAAGAAAAATTCCCAAGAAAAAAATTTGTCATATTATTTTACTTGACGCTATTTGTTTACATCTCAGATGTTTTTGTTTGGATCCGAAAATGACGGCCGCATAGCCGAAGCAGTTAATGCCATAGCCTCCTCACTACGGGACCCGACATCAAATGCAGACTAGCAATACGGATTCTTGTCGTAGGGTGGCAGAGTGGAAGCGTGTCCTTTTTTCTAGAAATACGCATTTATTTTCAGATCAGATCTGTTTGTGTTTAATATTTAAAAACAGAAAAGAATGTAGTCGAATAATAAAAATAATTTTTCTGATTTCTGAAAATATAGTATACTTTTTGCAGAAATTATTATTGCATAAAGTCCCAATATTCATATTTCTCACATTACTGATTCAATAGTTTTCGATCGTACAAATTTTAAAAGTCTATCTAATGTTATGTCATAAAAATGGCATTTTGACTTCATGATGTTTTAGATGTACGTTAAAAATTAATAAAAATGTTTAAATATAATTTCTAAACGAGAAACTTTCGCCTGCTTTTTAATTTTTCTCTTTTTTATAAGCTATAAGAAGGCATCGGCCGAATGGCCGAGCTGTTAAGGTGGCAGTCTACCGTTCTGGGGAACCCTGGATCGAATTCCAACGGTTACAACAACCCCAGGAATTTTTTAGGAATGCCCGTCCGGACCCATCTATCATCACCTATTGTGCTAGCTTCATTGTGGGCCTGGCTGAACCCATAATGGACTTTTTAAAAGCCTTCTTAGTGCTCACAAGCAGGAGTGTTTAAAAAATCCAAGAGGGCATTCCCAAAATTAGTTCGGTCAAGGTACAATAGATGATGCCCGAAAAATCAGAACCTATATATTCGGGTTAAGTCGTTTACAGAAAAATTTTGGATTGATCAAGATTCAAACCCTCCAGAAGTTCAAAATTGCATATGCATATCAAATATATGTACTGTATATGTCATATACACTCACTCTCAAAAAAGTTACGCACCAAGAAGCAGGCAATGAATCGAATAAAACTTTAATAGTGTGGACGTAATGATTATGGTAATAAATGATTGTATTATCATAGCAAATGTACAAGTTCCTCTGAAAAAATAGTACAATTTAAAGAAATCTGGATACATTTGACGATACGGTCGCGCATGGAGGCATACAGGCACCGCATTCTATCCTACAACAGATCTTTTGCAAATGCCGCTCCATATCCGTCACACTCGTACTGTACGTGGTAGAAAATGGCGTCTCATTTAATAATCACAAATGCTCGATGAAAATCTAGTCAAAGGAAATTTAAAATTATTGTTAAATGTTATATGACATTGTTACGTACAACGCATTGTGTCACGGTAATGTTTTGTAAATATTTTTCCGTTACGTAATAAAAGGTTGCTGGAGCTGTTGACCCCTCGGGGAGCCGTTGGTGACGGTGACCTCGTTTCACTCTCCCCTTTTCAACGCTGACCTTCCGTGAGTCATTTCTTGTGTATTCTTTGTTTTTTTGTTACATAACCTGTTACGCGAGTCTAACTTGTTTTTACTAATCTCTCCGACAAGCAACATCTAGTCTAACAACCCACAGGTCGGAAAAAGTCAAAAAGATACAAAAGTGTCCCTCACA